GCAGCAGTTGTAAATGATTTGAGCAGTTGTGATAAGGTATGGCAAGCTGAAGGACGACCCACAATCCATCTTGATTTCTGGGAGCGTCAGAGTTTGAGTATCTCTTTAGCCAGAGAGGTGCATTGCTAGGTTTGAACATCTACAGGCCCTTGATAATCTGCATCATCAAGCAGCTCTAGATTGGACATTTCCTACTTTCACCTTGGAGTTCCCTAAGCAACTGCTCAAGGGTCACAATGTAATTTGTTGCAGCAACTCTGATCCTAGCAACTGATCTGGGTACTTTAAAAGCTGGAAGACCTAGTCCTTAGAAATTGAGCTGGTGTTGATGGTTCAATCATGGCAGCTTGGTTTTCACAGTGTTAAGCTGATTTTGCAGAGTTGAACATGGGGTGGATATAAGAGCACCACAGGCATGTCGAAAACTTTTATGATCTGACGGCAGCTATGAGTTGTCACAGCCAATAACTTTAGAGAGACACCACTAATATCCTCAGCATAACAAACACAGTTCAGCTCCAAGCTGATTCCACACTGAAAGTTGGAATTTTCAAGTACTGTGTACGTTATGGTACGTAGCTTTAAAGGGCCTGGTTCTCTGGTGAAGCTCGTGAAAGCGTTCTGATTTGCTTCTGTTGATACACAAAATTGGGTCAGCTCTGCTGACCTGAGATATTTCTTTCAAATTACAAATATCACCCCCTACAGATCTATGTTTCGCTCTGACTGTCAGCTCAGCTGATCGACACAAGACTTTCTTTTCAATCCACGTTGATTAACCCCATCTGATTTATGTTTTGCCCTGTACCCCTTTGTGTAAGTTGCTCATGATGCATCATAATGTGGATCCTGCAGACCGCATTTAAGTGGAATGATTAGGTTAGCTGTACCTGTTGTGAAAGAAACCACCTTCCAGCCCCAATAGGTCACAATCAGGGCGGTGGGCATCAAAGTGGGCCTGCAATCTGACAAGTGTTTTTTGATCAGCTCAAAAGTTTTTGCCTAGCCTGGATTGCGTGGTCCATGTTCACTTCAGCCATCACTTAAAGCAGGTTCTAGTTCTCTTCCCTGCAGTTCTCCTATGCCTCCTTTTGCTCGCAACTGACAGCGCTGCCTGTTCCCTTAGTCTGCCGAGATCTCATGGAGTCAGCAAACTTGATATGGGCAGAAAAGTCTCACCTTGCTGAATCAGCTCTGTGAACCATTTTCCATTTTCATAGGCCGCCTGCAGAGCAGCCTCCATGTATGGCTCTTGTAGCTTTCACCACCAACAAAGAGCATCACAAACATAAGATCAGCTTGTGAAAAATGTTAACCTTTCTTGAAGTTTCTGGAATCAGAATCCCGGTCAACATAATCAGCCTCGAACCTGTCAGATTGTCTGCGAATGGGGCGCATCAAGACGTGCCTCCATGACTATCTCTTGACTCTCAAAAACAGAAAACGTCATCACGGATTCATGATCGGCTCAAAACATTCATCAAGCTAAACTCTATAGTAAGACCCACGGTCACCCGACCAACCTAACTTCCTCTAACCTATCTCCTGTCAGCTCACCTGTGCACTGAGGCGCACCAAGATTGGCCTTGATGAATAGCTCTTGTACCTTCCACAGACACCAGATCCTCACAAACTTGCAGTCAAGCTTGTGAAACTTTTGTATCTAGTTGCCATCAAAATCATCCGTTAATCCTTACCCGCCCCTAACCTCTTTTCTGCCAGGTCACCCGCGCGGTGGGGCGCATCAAGATGGGCCTCCGAACGATAGCTCTTGTCCCTTTCACAAACAATAGATCCTAACATACTCTTAGTCAAGCTTAGCAAACCTCTAGAATCTGCGGCATTCTTAACCACCCCGGTGATCCTAACCCGCCCCTAATCTGTTTCCTGCCAGGTCACCCGCGCAGTGGGGCGCATCAAGATGGGCCTCCAGAAGAAGCTGTACATGGGCAACTTGAAGTCGTCGAGGGATTGGGGTTTCGCCGGGGACTACGTCGAGGCCATGTGGCTCATGCTCCAGCAGGAATCGCCTGATGACTACGTCGTCGCCACCGAGGAGTCGCACACGATCGAGGAGCTGCTCGAGGAGGCCTTCTCGCAAGTCGGCCTCAAGTGGGAGGTGCGAATAGGCTGTCTCTCCTCTGATTGATTTGGTGTGGTTAGACTGAGAAGGGCCTCTTAGGTGTGCGAGGCTATTGTATCATTGTGAGTGGTTGAGGGGGATAGATGAGGGGATCCTAGAGGACGACTTTTTGCAAGTTGGCCTGAAGTGGCAGGTGCGGATAGGCTCTCCTCTGACGGAACCAATTTGAGTGAACTAGGTTCTAAACCAAGATAAAAGCACGCAGGAGGCCCCATTAAGTTTGAGGTGCGAAGCCCATTTACATTGGTGTGATTAGATCAGAGTGGATGGTTTTGGAGAGGGTCTGGAGAGTTGCTAGAAGAGGCCTTCGATTGAGTTGACCTTGAGTGGCAGATGATCGTTGGCTTTACTACATCTGAAGTGGGGTGACTGCACTCAAGTAACTGTGAAGATGTTTGAGCACACGATTGTTCAGTTCGGGTGTTTGTGGGAGGGCTTGACGAAGAAGGGTTCCCTAGATGAGGTCTTCGGCAAGTTGGCTCGGCGTGCCTTCTCAGAAAGGGGATACGAGTTTTGAATGACTTGTGCTTTCTGATCGTATCGAAACTTGGGTAAAATTCGTTCCGTGGAATCTGGGATCGAGCTGGTCATTTCGGACCGTACTTTGATTGAACGTCAGCAACACTCGTCAGGTGATTAGTTAGGCATAGAATCACTCCACACAGTCTCATTCGTACAAGGACCTTCTAATGAGAAATGGGGTATGGTGCATGCAAGGTTCCAACCCTGACTTTGATCAGGTGAAAAACATGGTCGAGGAGCTGCGAAGCAAGTCTTGCAGTTATGGCCATCGGGCTACGGTTTAAAGCTTCAGTGTCCAAGCCATGTGTTTCTGACTCGTTCAGAGGTTCTAGCTGCAGCGAGTGTGAAGATGTTAAAACGGAGATCCGAGGGGCTCTTTGCTCTGATCGGGACTGAGGCTCACTTCGAGAAGCTGAAGGAGACGCTGTAGAGGTTCTTATAGATTTTGAGATATCGACTTTGGCAGGCAAACAAGCTGAATGGCATTCAAAGCCCATCGGGAAGCATATTTGCATGTGCGGGAGACTGATCATCCATTTCCGTTGGCAGTAGGAAGCAGATTGTGTGGTGGAAACTTTGCGCCGATGGTCCCTGAGGAGGCTCTCTGGTTTCTTTGAAGAACCTACTGCAAAACGGACTTCAGGTTCTGTTGGCCACCTTTGATTCCTTGTTCCGATTCACTTCTTCGTTCCTCTCAGTAGGGAGTAGTCACGAGTATATTCACAAGACAAAGGCAACTCACGCTATCCTGACACATTCTGCTATCGGCCTTTTTTTGAACCTTTCTCGAACTTTATCCTGCAGGAGTATGTTGAGATTGACCCGCGGTACTTCCGGCCTTCCGAGGTCGACAACCTGCGGGGCTCGTCGGCCAAGGCGAAGAAGCTCCTGGGGTGGAAGCCCAAGGTCACGTTCAAGACGCTCATCAAGATGATGGTTGAGAGCGATCTTGAGCGTGCCAAGAGGGAGAAGGTCCTTTTGGACGCCGGTTACACTGGACGGGCCCACGAGTAAGATAGCGAACACACGTGTTGGCCGGAGCTGTAAAGCGACCTCGGAAGGGGAATGGTCGGGGATGACGTGCTATGTACATGTACCACACAAGCGGGGTCTCTTCAAGTCGGTGGCGTTGAACATGTAATGCATATCTTGCGCCCTGTCTTTGAAAAAGGAAGCGACCGAGGGCGCACAGGAGGAAAGTGTTGTCATAGAAAGCTTCACTTGGGTTTGCTACTAGTGTACACAGCCTTAGTACCGTACATGACTGATACCTCGATCTACTAGTAGGTGGGTAATCCGCTTTCCGTGTTCAGATTCTTTGTAAACTGAGGCACGAGATTTGCGCCCCAGTGTACGTCTACATGAAGATCACTACACCCTACCATAGTTAGACTCTCACGCGATTGTTGGTCAGACTCAATGATCGTGGCCGGTCGGAGCCACCTGGCCCTATTAGTATCATTCGCTGAGATCAGCTTGGGCCCCTCTATATACAATTCATTAAATCACGAGAACAAAAGTCACTTGATGATCGGACATTCGAGATATCATGGCTACAATGTTTAAGAATGATTGATGGCCACAAGGCCAACTTTGCGAGACGGCTGTTATAGAATCTATGAGAGCACTATATAGTGACACAGCTGGCACATGCATGCATGTCATGACATGCACATGTGCATGGCCGGGCGATAATTGCTTTATATGACGTCGACCGAGCGATCGATGGTATTATAATTAACACATATATCATAAATCGCTCAGCTTGCCGGGGCCGATCGTCAAGCTGGGATGCCCGGCCAGGCTACGTCGTCAATCATTGATGAAAATATGACGGTCATGCGTGCAGCCAACTTAAAGCTCCTTCAATTTAATTGGCATGTACTGACTCAGCTGTACCAAGTCACCGGGTATTGCAGATTCAATTAACCGTCATGGGCAGCTTGCATGCAGGGCCCAGCAAATGTCGGAAGCTCAACTCCAGTATGTCCGGCTGCACAAATCTTGAACCCGGCCCGGTTGTATGTATGATCCGTACGTCGCAGTGGAGATCCAAACTTGAAACGGCAAGCAATTCAGTGGCGCCAACTACTGTACATGGAAGGTTCATGTCCTGTGGTCCAGAAGAGGAGGAAGGACCAGAGCTAGCATGGTTATGTCAAGTCGTCCTCTTCCTGTTCTTTAGCTGTGATGTTCTGCTTGGTCCGCAACAAAAGCGTCGTTTTCCAAGGGTCGAGCCGCGTCATGCTGTCAAACTGGTACACAACCTCGGTGAACTTCTGCACCTCGCCCTCCTCGATCGCGTCCGCCAAGTCCTGCAAGGTGGCAATGCCAGTTTCAATCACACCTGTCCGTGTTCGCCAGGTTGCAAACTTGGGCGTAACACAGAAAACAAACTGATTTGGGTGCAGGAGTCTGGCCCTTTACAACCTCCGAGTAGCTCCTCTGCAGTACTTGTGCCGTATTGCATCCCGGCTCGCCCTGACCGGGACTGTGCATTGAGAGTGTTACAGACTTCGCTAACACGCCAGAATCTAAAGTTTTCATTGCGGGTTCGACAAGGAATCTGTGTCCGTTTAAAGCGGAGGGACTCTCGCATACCGTGCACTACTGAATACCGGAATGGAGAAACGTAAGGCAAAAAGTATTGCGAAGAAGAACGAGAGAGAGTGAGAGCACAGAGAATCTGGCAGGAACAAGGGGAGGAAGCGTAGAGGCGCTTTATCAAAAGGCCTGCATTTGTCTCCAGCGAGACGAAAAGCTTAGATGACGAAGGAGACGGCAACGAAGCAGGAAAAGAAGAAAACGAGGCAAGAGGGGCAAACGGAACGAAGACACTCCACCAAATCAAAGCAACGATACTTCAGCGGAAATGGAGAGGAGAGAGCGTAAGACAATAGACAAACAAGAGGAATGGGAACAAGGAAGAAGAACAGGACTAAGGAAGTAACATCTACGTGGAAGATCCTTCAAATATCAATGCATCACTGACTTGAAAATAGAAACCAGAAGAGGCGCTCTACCTGAATGAACTTGCACTCGCGCGTCCCCGAGAAGCTGAGGTCGAGCTCCTGGTACTTGTCGATTGCGTTGCGGATGTTGACCACGTCGCCGGCCGCCAGGTGGCATAGACCCGCGTTCAGCAGGTAGCCCTTCACGCTGCACGCCAGAAGAGGGGCCGGATTCTGAGAAGGGCTTTCAACTCGCTGAGATCGATCAGATCCCAAAAAAATAACTCAATAGTCAGTCTAGAGTGGCTGACAGGGCGGCTGGAACGGTGGTACTGCCCCCGACTCAGCACTAAGCCCTTCGCCTGTACAGCAACAAAAAGGGTCCGAACATCTGAACAGAGGTTCGAAGTCCGAAATACACCAAAGTTGTTGACTTGAAAAACACAGCGCGAACATTCGACTTAGGATATCCTGGATGAAAGTCGAACTATAGAGCAATTGTCCAAGGAAGACGTGGTGACACTCGTGGCACAGCCCCAGGCGAATTAGGTAGCTATGGACGGCGCACTGGTTGAAACACTTCGACGGTCATCGAAACCTCGATCGCAATTTCTCCTGAGTTATGCAGCCACACCATGTGCATCTCGATCGTGCGGCACCTCGAGGAGCTGTAGTCATTTGCTTAAATTGGGCCCTCACAGCGTGGATTCCGAAGGCTGTATCAAACGTGTCCGTATTGGTAGCTTGAGACTTGCCGATATCATCCAAAAAGGGCCAGCGATCGATAAACTCGATTTGCTCGCAAGTTCGCACCAACTTCCGTCACGCCCCATTGAACCACTTGAACAAGCCCATGCGACCAACAAAGTAACAGCTACTTTTGTGCTTGCGATCACGGCTGGCAACCGATCCAAAATGACATGCAAGACTTACCTGTACCGCAAAAGGTTGTTGTCTAGCGAACTCTTGGCAATCTCCTCGTAGATCTCAACCGCCTTGGGGTACTGCTCCAGCTGCGCCGCAAACTGGGCCACCTTCAGCTTGCACTGGTTGCTGGTGCTGCGGGGATTGGGGATTGCGAAAAGGTCGGAGGCATGCCAACATTTCATTACCTCACTTGCAGGACGCGTTCAGTTTGAAAGCGAGTCGCCGCGTTTAGCTCGGAGGAAACTCGCCCCAGAATTACAAAAAGTGCGAGCATACATGTACTCCCGAAGGTGACAAAAGCGCCCCTCCCGTGCAAGGGTACAAACAGTAAACCGGCTACACTCCTCAGGCAAATCCATGTGAGCTAACCAAAGTGACAATACTTGGCGACCAGTGAATAAGTAACACATAACACAATCTAGTACGTAGGCTAGGACTAAACCCCACTGATCAATCAACTTGCCAGCCAGGCTAATCACAGGCGGAAAAGTCAAAAAAAACGTGTCAGTATGCGAGCGAGCCAGCAGGAAGCGCATACCTGTTCACCTCCTCTCCTGCATATAGGTCGGCCGCCTGCTGGTAGAAGGTGAGCGCGTCCTCTGCATTGTCCTCCTTCTCGTAGATCTCCGCTATGTCCTTGAGATGCTTGGCCGCCATGCTCAGCCGCCCGATGTTGGTGAAGATGCCGACCGCGTTCTGCATGCACTCCAGCGCCTCTGCACAGGCAGCGCTGATGTCAGAGTCTCCCCGGTTGCTGACGTCAGAGTCTTCCCGGTCGCTGCTCAGATGCTCTTCAACGGCACGTTTCCAGCTAAGACCGATGTCTGCTGTGCTTCAGTGGTCACCAGACCTTGACGAATCAAGCAAGCCGGTCATTGTGTCATTGTAAACAAAAGCTTGAAAGCTTGACTTGAGTGACCTGGGCTCCTCCAACATTGTAGCTCTATGTGAAATGGTTTCATCAACTCCTGGGGGAGCAGACAACCAGCCCCGGTGTTCCATCAAACTTAAACCAGCTTCCACCTATCCAACAGCAACAGGAAAGTGAATAGCTGATAAGGCCTTTTCACGTGCTTTAAGCTTGAAAACAGACCTGAGACGCGGGGACTTCACCAACATAGAAGCTTCAAAAGTGCATATTATACTAGCTGGCTGCACCGATGATGTCTTCTTAATGTAAGTTGGCCGAGGAAGCTCACCAACACTCAGAATGATCGGATGCTTTTAGCAGGAATGGAGCTCTTCCCTCGCTTAAGCAGATGGCATTGGGGCGCTACACGATCTTGGCCTACTCAAATGAAATACAATCAGTGCTCTAAAGACTCTCAAAACTTTCACATCATGCTGAATATGCACCAGTTTTGATTGCGAAATGAGGTTACTGATACGAAACCCTAATGCAGCAGTAGGTCCCCTCGACTTACTTGCACTATTGACTTTCCGGTATGCATTTGCAGCATCAACAAGAGCCGAGGCCGCCTCATGCTCACTTTCCAACTGCAGAGCGGTGCCAACGCTTGTGTGAGCTTGATTGGAAAAGCAACCAGATGGCGCATCAGGATACAAGCAACTTCATTGTTGATGATTTTCGACTGCTGTGATCATGGAGCTTTGGCACTGGGACCAGTTGATCGATCAATGAAAGCAGCTTTGCTGGTCAAGGAACCTGTTCTTCCGACACTAGACCTACAAAATTTGCACATCGACTGTTCCACTGAGCTGAAAGAAAGCCAAGCATAGCTGCTACTCAAGCTAGACAGTTTCAAAGATCAAAGTCGCAAGTATCAGAGAGAGAGTTTATGTTTCCTTTAGAATGCTCATGGCCAAAGTGCTATCATGACGGTATCAAATGCCTGTAGACTAACCGCATACCTTTTTGTGTACTTCTGAAAGGTGCACATATGTTTCTCCCGCCTTCTCCCCTGTATTGAAAGAGCGTTTCAAATCAGAGACGTGGTATAAAAGAAGCAGAACTTGTGCCTTTGATCTGCCGCAATGAGGAGACGGAGCACTTTCAAGAGGAATACTCCGGAGATCTCAAAGCAATGAGAGCTAGAACGAGCCTACTTCAAACTTCAGTCAAAAGTTCCATCCAAAGAGCATCTGATGTGAGGACAGTACGTCTTCAAGTCACCAATGATGCCAGGGGTTTGAATGCCAAGGATGCCGATATGTGGTCGGATTAAAACTTACATGCTTTTCCAAGCTTATACTGGTTGGCGGCCTTGTCCAGCAACTCAGCCCCGTCCTCGTACTTGCTGCTACTCCCGAACAACGAGAAGCTCTTCAGCTTTTTGTCCGCTTTCTTGGCGAATTCATCACCCTTCGCCTCAAAGTCGCCCATTCTGGGAACTCTACGACAAACCGGAAGCCAATAATTCTCAGAGGGACTCGACACAACAGGTTCCTGACAAATACTGTGAAGAAGGATGTTTCAAAAGATGGTTTCTTCGATCGAAGCGGCTTGTGGACAAGCACATAACTAATTCAGAAGAATGGAACGTGTAGAGCGAGCCTGATATGTGCTGAGCAGTCACGGTGCTGCACCATGATGAAGTAGGCGCGTTGACTAGAGCCTGGAACCGTCCGATTGCAACAAGAAGCAATCGGCGGCCAGGATGCTTCGTCACGGCTACTGCGTCCACCCTACGGCCGCCGGCATTTGAGCTGAGTACAGGGTTCGGTTGAAAGCACACATATAGAGGCTACTAAGATGATGCCATACCGTTTTCCATATGCACAGCTAGGCGCGTCCTCATGGCATGTACTTCTGAGAGTCTAAGTGACAGACTAGGGTTGCGAGCTAAGAGAGGTCCAAAACTGCGTCATTGGCCGGCTTGCACTTCTTAATTTGCTGCATGGACAATCGGCGGGGCCGAACTCAAATGGCTTGTCTTGAATGGCGGCTAGAGAAAACCAATCAGGTTAACATCACGTTTCGGGGCTTGAAGTTTCCGCGTTCCAAAGGCAGGCAGATCACGTGTCCGCTGGCTTTTCAATGACTATCTTATGTAGCTTCAAAAGTGCGTCTAGCTCATCCGGTTGGTAAACCTTGATCACCACCTCGCCCGTCTTTGCTACCGAGACCTTTGCTAGCTCCAACTTTTCATGCGAAAGTGTTGTACTATCCATCGTCTTACTCAACACTTTCAGTGCTAGCTGCACGGCGGCCTCCGAGTCGATGTCGTCCTTGTAATCCTGCATGGACAGGACATAAGATCAATCAGATACTCGATCGTAGCAAACTGGAGGGGCGCTCCCCCTCCCCGCATGGATTGGTTGGAGCAGAGAACGTCGGAACAGTTGTTAATCAGAAAAGTGAGTGCGACTATCTACAATTTGTATGTCGCACAGCTTAAACGGGACCATTTGCAGGATCAGTCAGAACTTTCCAGTCTACCAAAGTTGCATACCCTCTAGAAACGATCCAAATCAGGTGCAAGAAACGACCTTAGACACTCTGAGCTTCTTCACGGTCACTTGTCATACTTCGTGCTGTGCATCTCGCAAAGAGCCCGTCCAACAATCATAGATCACGTAAATATAGTGAACGTGCTATATCTGATAATTAATTTGCACGGACATCAACAGTACTGGAAGAAGACGCTGTCTGCTGTCAGGTCCACAACCAAGTCAGCGCAGAAGTTCCATGCATAAGAGGGACATTGAGTAGCAAAACACTTGTGAATTTGACAACGAACCGCAACAACAAACTCCGGATGTGGGCGACGTGAAACCGAAGCGACTAAGCCGGTGACGGAATGGCGACACACCTGCTTAAGGATAGACTGCGCGGCCTGACTGTTGGACCCGATCGCGGTCGCCTTCCAGCCGCCGTAGTTGCCGCTCGGGTCGCTCTGGTACAGCTGGAAGCCGAAGTGCTTGTCCCACCCCGCGAAGAGGAACGACACGCCGAACGGGCGCAGGCCGCCAAACTGCAAAGCAAAGAATTGGACGAGCTAGGAAAAAAAGAGAAGGGGAAGGGCGGACTTCAAACGGGATAGCACGATGAGATCCAACCGGCGGCTGGCTCTCTGCAACAAGAACGACACCCGAACATTGGGAGTCCATTGGCGTGGGAACGGATGGAGGTGGGGATTAGAGAGGGCGTCCAGCCCAGTTTACTATTTCCCGTAAGGCAAGAGCAGCGAGTCCTGGTCGCCCCAAGCGGGACGTGACAAGCGACCGCGAAGGTAGAACCGCCTGCTCTTAGGTGGCCGAAAGACGACCGTTCCCGGCGCCCTCGTCAAGGGGGAGAAGAAGACAAACTTGGGAGTAACGTAAGGAGATACTAGCTGCTGACAAACTCTGGACAGGTACCGTATCCAAGCAGAGCGGAAAAAAGTGGACGGATGTATGCTCCCAATCCAAGAACGGGTTCCACTGTGACCGAAGCGCGAGCATGAAGCTTGCGGTTGAAGTGGAGCTGTTGCACCACGTATACAAGAGGAAAGAAGCCAGGTTAGAACCATCCGAACCAAGTCGAGTCAGTAAAGTGAGAATGGGCCCTTCTACAAGCGAAACGTCGGCTTCAAGATTCAGCCACATCCGGACGAAAGTACATAACCCAAAGACACCGTAGAAGGAGAAAACGATGATTGACTGCTATTGCTTCGCGTTTTTGCATTTAATGCATGTTCCGTGAAAAAGCCCCCTGCGTGCTTTCATGCTTGATTTTGCGTTCGGCCCGAGCCCAAGACGTTCAAAAACATTTCAGATGTCAAGTACCGGAAGGACCGAAAAACGAATCGTGAAACACTGAACTTTCGAGTAGGGCGTCGTATAATCTCTGCAGATTCAGGACGGGCCCGTCTGGACCCAGTCGGACGCACCAGATATCTGTTTCGAGGTGGCGACCTCGCTCGATTCTTTCGTAGTGTCAAGCGGAAAAGACCCGGTCATGTTCGCTTGTTTCTCTTACCCACAGACAAAGCCTACAACTTAATCAACACTGACTTGACTGTCAACGTCGCGCGGGCAGTAGGGCCAGCCGCTTGGACATCCCTGTAAGCAGCTGACGCCATCTGGGACTTATATCGTGACGCTAACTTCAAACCTCTGGAAGGGGACAACCAAAATTCAAGGTGGAAGAACGCACCTGCGTGTACCCCTGTTTGGTGTCGCACAGCGACTGCACCAGTTGCTCCACCGGCATCGGCTCCCCGTAAGAGAACGTGTATCTGCGAGGAGCAAGCCGGGAATCAGAAATGCTTCCCATTTTTTGGGGTAAGCCCCAGGAGGCGTGCACTCGAAAGGGTTTTGCAGATCCTGTGCCTCAGGACGTATATCCGCTCCAGACGAATAAAATCCTGGCAACTCTGTCGTGACCTGGACCAAATTTGCTGCATTAAACGGATGCATCGCCCGTCCGAAGGCAAGGAGGTCGGGAAAGTGTTGATTGGATGCGGCCGCTTCTTCAGATTCAATTTTTGAAAACAAAAGCAGGCCGCTGGACTCAACAAGAAGGGAATTTTACTGCCGTGCGGCCATGAGATGTAGGACCGTTGAGTAACCGCTACACGTTTAATCCCATCTTTTTCTTTTTGCAAAGGACTCCTTTCTTGCAAACGACTAAAAAGCTACAATACTGGGAAGGAGCAGAAGGAGATCCTAATTGCCGTACTGTCGCCCGTACAACACTGATGAGGATGTTGGCATCCGCCATAAAACCCTGCCACTGCGATCCCAATAGGGTTTCTGTACTGATACTTCTTTAATCGTCACTGAGACCTTATACCTTTCCCAACGAAAGCAAGAGAAACAAGATAAGGAGGGAAGAAGGAAAGCACAAAAAGCACAAACAACCAATCTGAGTTCTCCGCTGCGCTGCCAGCCATGCAGTGTTTAAAGGACTGTTGGCATGCCGCCAGAGCCCTGCAACTGCGTTCGCAACATGGCCATCATCCTGTACTTCTCTTTTTGTCACTGCCTTTCTTGAAACACCTCAGTTGCAAGAAACTAAAGCAAGAGGGAAGGAGGAAACAGAAAAAGCAGGAAACAGGAGATCTTCTCTTGGCGCTGCGCCGCAAGCTGTGAAGTGTCGCTCAGGCCGTTGGCATCCTCCCTATTCATGAACTTGTCTCTTCGTCATTGCCTTCCCTCAGAACCCTTTCCCTCCTGGAAGAAACGGAAGGAAGGAAACGGAAGGAAGAAAACGGAAACCCAGAAAAGGACAGAGAACAGAAAATCTGGTCTTACCGCTGCGCCGCAAGCCGTGCAGTATTGATCAGGATATTGGCGTCCGCCGTGATCCCCGCAACCGCGCTCGCGATGTGGTCGTCGATCTTATACATCTTCTCGCTCGCTTTGGACGTCTCCAGCAGCTTGCTCGTGATCTTCTTCTCCGCCGCTAGGATCACCGCGTCGGTGGCGAGGATGCCCACGGCGGCGCCAGCATGCTGGATGGCCTCCATGGCATACTCTACCTGTGACACCAAAAGGAACTTGTTTGTTCTTGCCTTTTTTCTATTCGCTATGTGCGCAAAGTTGGGCGACCGCAGAGCTTCATCTGGACAAGCAGATTCGATGGGTTTAGAAGGGATGCTGGGTGATGTTCCCCCATGTCAGTGGTTTTTGCTTCTACTCCCTTCTTTTGCGTATCACCCACTGTGAGACTACCCGCTTGCTCATTCCTGGTCTCGCTGAGGGGCTCCACCGGTTCAATCTGCATCACTTTCAGCTTTGATACAAACAAGATAGACAATTGGCACGTGTTTGCAGAATGATGACTGCATCTTTTCAGTGAGATTCTTTGGGTAGCGAAATAGGCTTATGTGTCAACAGGATCATGCCTTCTGTCACACTGATTAAGTCAATCTGGACTGGGGCTGAAGCGTTCGTTGAACACTAGATGCTCAAGGTGTATTATGCCACAAACAATGATTTGCAGTTCTTGTCTGAATACCTCTTGATGGGCGGCAAAGTCAATTGGAAAGGGCCTGCTTATGCTATGTCTGTGATTCTGCTGCTCGTGATACCCCTCAACCTTGCCAAGGCATGTTTTCCATAGCTTCAGAGCGGTGTATAAGATTGTCAAATATGTGGGGAGGTTTGCGAAACTGATACGCCGGATTCCAGAAGGCAAAAATGAAGCACAAAAGAAACCTACTAGACTTTCAAAAGTTTCTGGAAAGACTACAGCCTTAACTAGGATTTTGAAAGCTAGAGGGGCTGTTCACATAACAAGCTTCTAACAATTAAGCATTCTATCACAATATGCATCTGCAGAAGACGGTACCATTTGTGAAGCACAATTACTGACATCGAATCGAATACTCCCAATTGAAGTGGTCCGAACCTAGCACTCGTTTCATGTTGCTGAGACCAGAAAGTGCAGAACACTCGACGCATCAGCCGGGCACAGAAGCATCCATCAAGCTCGGCCATCGTATGAAAGATAACATCCTAACCAAGCAGAAAGCGTAATTGGAGGAAGGTTATGGAAGCACGTTACGCACTTTTCCAGTAGCAACTTGATTTTGATTGAAACTAAGAACTTAAACTAGCGAATCGAAAAGCCTGCCATGCTGATCACAAAGAGCAAATATGCATCAGAACAGAACCAGAATGCACAGTGCAAACCCGCTGCTCACCTGATACAGGCGCCCCTCAGGTGAAAAGATTGTCGTCCTTGAATCATACCGACGCGCCATCGTGTCCCACCACCTTGAAAGAGTCCTTAGGGATGTGCAGGCACACTACGCAAGTGAGAGACCGTCAACGATGTATCTTTGCAACTTGCTTGCACAGAGCTGCACCCAATTGGACACATTAAGATGCTCTGAATGGCCAACCCAGCAGCCTCCTTTCACTAGCTGTCGCTCTTTAACTGCTGGACTCGGATCAGGAGGAGGTTTGCTCTTGATACCTACTATGAATCTGATAGCAACGGGTTGAGCAGCAGACTTGCTCAGGCTGAGCAGAACTCTGATGATGGTCGCCGCCAGTTTGAAGACCTGGACGCCTCGACGGTTTTGATTGGATCGCGCGATTTGTAAGTTGCTCCAAGTTGCTCCACAGAAGGACTTAAACGACTCTCGGCGAATGTGCTGCTTCGACAGACACCGCCCCCTTAGGAAAGCTTCTGAACTTCTGAACTTTTAGCTAAGATTCCAGGGAGTCCTTTCGATGAGCTCAGTCAGACTCGAACTCCAAAGTCACGTAGACCTCCATTTGCAAGCTCTGTCAGTGTTCATTCCAACTTCCAAGTGAAGCCTGGACGCCTTTTGAATTTCTCTCTCCTGGTTCCTCGAGCTGCCCCAGTGCTGGTGATTCAGCTGCCATCAGGTTTTGAAGGGCTAGTCAAATCCAGGCTAGGAAGCTACAGGTTTTGCGGAGCAAAGTGGCCTGCGGGAAAGTAACGGTGATTGTGTCTTTGCCACATTCTGTTGCGCAAGAACGTGGCATCCCAGTGCATTGTCTAGCAGCGGCAATCCGACTCATCTTGAGAGACCCCAACGAAGACTGCTCTGCTTGTTGAAGGAAGATGAACTCTACTTGCTTATACCCTGCTGGATAATATCAATCCTATGCCAGCATACTCTTCAGTTTTTCTACATTAGACGTTGCCGGCATAGCATTTTTGGCGTCAAGTGAGCAGGTTTAGGGGTTTTGGAAGCCTGCAGTCTGCAGGTTGGCAACGTTGTTTGCAGAGATAGGGGTAGGAGTTAAGGTGGTGAGGACCGTCAAGAGATTCAAAGGATCGTCGTTGTTTCGAAGTTTGGAGGGGTCCCATGTAGAGGAAAGTGTGCACCAAACGCCGCATCTTTTCAGAACTTCCAGGACAGATTCCACCAGCTTCTTCTAGAGGCCGGCTTGTGGAACTATTAACCCCTGGCCACACCTGCATTTGCAAAATACAGAGCCCCGGAGTTCTTATGTCCAGTACAGCTGAAGACAGGCGGCAAAACGTCCAAGCCCAAGCTGCCCTCATAGGGTTGCTCACTCTCACCACTGATTGGTCTGAACCCTAACAGTAATGCTAGAGCAAAACATGCCTTTGGCCCAAATCTGAAAGGCGGTTTTGGACTCCACGCACCAGACTAGGTGTGCGTAAGCCACTTGCATAAGCTGCATTGGAGTGCATAAGCCCAGCTTGGTTATAAAAGCAACCGCGGGGTTTGGTATATGGCCTGGAGGACCGGCCCCCAGCCAGTAGTGATAGAAGGGCCGAGACAAGCAGTTGGGGGGGCAGAAATCCTGGATCTCATGAGAGCGGCCTCCCCCCCTAGGCAGGGAGAGGAGGATGGCGGTCTGGACCTCTACGGGGAGGATGCGGTCGCTGTGCAGTACAAGGCCTGGAAGGTGCGTATCTGCTATGGGCAGCTGCATAGCCTATCCGCTCAGCTTTTGTCCTGAGCGGAGGCATTTCGGAGGCTGACGAGTTGTCAGAAGTGGTGACTGTACTTAGTGGTGTGCTCTAGAAGACGTCTATTGGTCCAGGGCTTGAATGTGCAAAATCTGGAGGGGCATGCCTCTTGCGTCAAACTGTTCGGTGACATTGTGTTGTTCATCTATTTGAGATTGGCGTCACTTCCGCTAAACGTGGACGTATGCTTTTCACGGAGTGGTGCTCATGTCTGGTGGTCTGCTTAATCCACTGAATGTCTGAAGAGGGGGGAACATGCTGGCACCATTCTTTGTAGCTGCTCAGTCTGATGCTCAGATGGAAAGCCATCTCGTTCACTTGTGTCTGTGGCCTTACAAGTACAAAAAAAAATCCCTCTAAACAAAGGAATATTACGCATTCGTGATTCACTTCTTTACGGCCTGAGAGGGGGCAACCCCTCTTGCTGCAGAATACCGACACAACCCACTCTTACATAAAACAAGAGACGAGGCAAGCGAAGACAGAAGTAACTAGACTGGATACATCGCTGGAACCAGTGCCGCGTTCCTGCCATCAGGATCTGGACTCCTCGTATCTGGAAATTCTTGTCAGAAGGATACACGAGGAAAGTAGAAATCTATCTGGATTGCAGACCTATAAGCACTTTCACTTTTGTGCCTGCAGAAGCTGCACCCGTCTGCTCTGGAGTTCTTTGACAGCATTACTTCCAGCGCGCGGGACAAGCGGGTGGCCGTCTTTTTGGACTACGACGGCACGCTGTCGCCGATAGTGGAGGACCCGGAACGCGCGTTCATGTCAGACCAAGTAAGACATGGTACCAATTAGCGGAGTATGGGGCCTTTGGTTTTTTCCCCCCATCCTCTGACTGTTGTTCCTTCTTCATATTGCCCGCTGCTGAAGACAAAGCTCATGGCGAGGGCTTTTCTGCCAACTAAAGTTTGAGAATCAGCCACAGGTTTGCGTTTCCAGGGTTTGATCATAATCAGTTGCGTAATGCACCAGAGTTTATGGGTGAGGACACAGACTGCGAGTATGATTGCAGCTCCCCCCCACCCCCCCAATTTTGCTTGTTTGAGCTGAAGTTGCAGAAGAAGCCTCTACCAACCAGAAGCTGGACGTTTTTGACCTTCCAAACTCAGGCTGGGAAGCGGGACTGTTCTGATTGAATGCAATCTTTGTATTAATCTGGGCTTGGACTCCAAACAGCCGGAAATGGCGGCTGGTTTCTGCTTTCTTGCCCTTCGCTTAGCCTGTTAGGTGTTCGACGGCCCTTGTGGAGCTTCATGTTTGCAGAGCTGTGAAACCCAGGTAGTCGTTCTGGCTGAAGTGAGTGGTTGTTCATTGTCAGTTTCATTGTGACAGAAAGGTCAAGCCAAAGTGCGAAAGCACAAAGGTTTCTTCTGCAAAAGCCGCCAAGAGTTGAATTGCTGAATCCGGACTCCCTTTTAAGCAGAGAGGTTTTCGTTGATATCCTGGTTTTGTTCTGAGAGGTATGGGAGCGCTCAATGATGATCAACTATACGCTATTCTGAGCCTCCGGGCAGTGTGGATAGCAAGATTCACTGAGAGCTTTTCTAGTTCCCTCGCTGCCACAGACCTGTTACGAAAATGAGGTGCTGCCTTCTTAATCTCGAGGAGGTTCCGCTTGTGTAGCCGTCTTGGACTGTTTTGAATGGGATCTCTCACCTTGTATCGACGTTTGGCGCATTCTAGTCGGAGGCCCGCATAATCCTAAGTCACTTGTTTTGAGGTCGAAGAATCTGCGTTTGCATGCCCGACTCCCCTTAGTGAATTCTATCGTGTCAGAGTATGCTTCCGCCAGGTATACGCGTCGTCCATTCTTTGTATTTTTATCCGGCTTGCTATAGTCGGAGTTGTACGAAGCCCGGTTAGGCAGCCTAGAGATTCTCCAGGTTCTGTTCAGCCGACATATTGGGCACAAAGCCTTGAAACGATGGAGCAGCTTTTCTGCCTTCTGCCAGCTTTTCTGCCGGCTCTGACGCGAGCATAGGGGTCTCGTTGGACCGAAGTCTTGGTTCTGGACTCCAGACAGACAATATGCAAGCGGTATGTATCTGAAGTCCCAACATCATTTCTACCTCACTGGAGAACAAAGAAGAATTTTATTCCACATTAACTGTCACCCCTTCGTCAAAGACTGGCTCGCCTAACAGGACTTGCACGACCTCGCAAAACCGTTTCCTTCCGATTAGTCACAAAGCGTGGCTGGTAATAGAGTCTGTTCTCTCACCCCTTTAGCCACAGTCAGCCACAAAGCGCGAGCCCTGGCAGAGACGGTCATCTTGATCACATCCAGCGAGACGCAACTTCCAGACGCTGTAACAACATGCAAGTGAATAGCATAGTCTGTCAGAATCCTGGACGTATGCTGATCGACTTGTCGTTTTGGCATCCCTTGCAGATGCGAGCGGTTGTGAAGGAGGTGGCGACGTTGTTCCCGACAGCAATCATCAGTGGACGGGGGCGGGAGAAGGTGCGTCTCGAGGATCATGTCTCTACTGAAAGGCTAAACCGGCCTCCCGACTTTGAGAAATGCGGGTCTCACGGATTCTTGCTGCTCGTACGTCCATCATAACACTGCCCCATTCGCACTCCTCGTGTCAAAATTACATCATCAGAAGTAATTGGACATAGACGCCCCGGCCCAGGATGCTGGAAAGGATGCTGGCGACTGCTGACAAGGCAGGGGGGCTTGCAAGCTCAAAACGCCATAGTCAAAAGCGGAAGCTTGGATAGACTTTGTATTTCTGGTGTCGACTTTATATTGTTAACCGGTCTGCAGTTGGGGGCAAGGAAGAGATAGGTAACCGTTATCCATCGCTGTCCAAGATTGCAGGTTCTTTGCTTTGTTAGATTCCCGGAGTCATCCATGCCGACAGCTAAAAGCCCTTCTTTGAGGCTGGAATCCCAAGCAAGAAAACATCTCGGTTTGGTATGGAAACACGCTCTTTTCTTCCTATGGCAGGTCTTCTCGTTTGTGAAGGCTTTTTGAGTACCGGCAAGTAGGCAGAAGCTCTCTAGAAAGCGCAAGATAATAGACAAGGCTAAGTCGTCGGTCTGGTAATCTGAACCCGCTTTAGGTGAAGACGCAGGTCCTCGTGCCTCCGTGTAACTTCGTTATCACCATACCGGCAGTGACAACCTTCTCCTCCAAGCTCGACGATTCTGACCACGAGGATACCCTAATCTGGAGATCCCCGCCCATGGCTTTGCTCAGTCAAAGTTTCTCAGACCTGCTTTTCTTGGAAAGTGCAGGTGTTTTCGTTTGTCAAACTTTCGGAGTTGTACTACGCCGGCAGCCACGGTCTGGACATCGCAGGCCCCTCACGGGCGCCAGCTGGCAATGGGAGCTCGGAAGCGATCCCGGTCGACGGGGCAGAAAAGGTGGGGTTTACGTTTCTTTTGTTGTAGAAATTTTTATCCCGCTCGTCTGTTGGTGTCCATTGGATCCCGACCTGTTCTTGTTGTTTCAAAGATCCCCTCTGTGGTGAAGCCAAGGTGAGCGTTGAGAGTTGAGGGGTCGACGCAAGCTGATCCAGTGGACAGCGTACAAGAGCTGAAATGTGAAACTGTGGAACCTTTGCTTTCTGCAGCAATTGAGATTGGTTGGGGGCCTTCAGATCCTTGCAAGCCCCATGTGGATTCCACCTTTTTGTGCGTCAGCGTCCGGCCATCCTCTCACTGTGCAAAGTATCTTCAAGAGACATGCAGTCCGAATCAAGTGAAAGGGAAAGTGATATGCGAGAGTCCTTTTGGTGCCCCTCCCCGAAACGAAAGCCGAGCCCGTACGAAGCTGGCACCGCTCATGCCTGCTTCGCCTTTGACAGAAATCACCGGCCCCCCCTCGGAGCTCTGAATGGTTGGCTTACGTCACCTCCAATAGTGCTTTAAAAGCACACCAGTCTTCTCCCCCTCTTGTCGAGGGTCTTCCCGTCAAACACAAGGTTTTGTCACTGATTCTGAAAATGTCGACACACGTAAGGGGAGTGGTTACAATGAGGTGCTAAACTTCCCTCTTATATCCCCGTCTGACGTCATCCTGACCCTGTTTGACGTCACTCCATTTGCGCAGGACGACTTGTCGGTGTTTCAGCCGGCCGCCGAGTACGTTCCCCTGTTAGACGAAATCTATGCTCGGCTGCAGCGGGAGGTTGCACCGGTGCCGGGGGCGTTTGTGGAACACAACAAGTTTTCGGTCACGGTCCACTTTCGGAGGGTAGCAGAGCAGGTACTCCTTTCTCGCATTCGAAGTTCTGGCTCTATTCTAATCTCAGTTGTCAAGTTTTGGAATTCTGTGAGTCCTGGAATTGTTGTGGTGGTGAGGGCATGCGTGGAACAAGACAAGTTCTTGCTTACGGTGCATTTTGGAGGGTGGCCGAGCAGGTGAGCCATCCCACGTTTTGAGTCTTGAGTTTTCCGTCAATGGGAATTCGGTCCGCGGGGCGTCTGGGGTTTATGCAGTTTCGGAGGCATTTCGTGGAACACGACGAGTTTTTAGTCACTTCGAAGGTAGCGGAGCAGGTGATTGGTCTCGACCACTTCGGCCTCTGCTTTGGCGTTCTGCTCGATCTCGGCTCTCAGATTTGAGGGCTCAAATGCTTGATGACTGGGTGAAGGTATATTCTGCAGTTAGTGGTACACTGATTGAAAAGCTGCTCAAGAGTTTCGGGACTGACCAATCGAGGGCTCACGATTGCATGGTTTGGGCGCGCCTGCGTAGCCACAGAGACGTTCAATAAAAGTCTTGAGAGCATTATAGCAGGTGACTCTCGTTTGTGGAAGGTTCTGCGCGGTTCTTTTGAAGCCTCTCGGGGCAGGTAATTGCAGGCTATGTCTCAGGCAAGTCTCAACAGACGGACAAATAAAGGGGGCCAAACGAATTTCGTATGCTTTCTGGGAAAAGGAGACGAGTTCCAACTTGGTAGACTTTTCACATTAGATTCGATGTGAAAACAGTTCGACTAAGTAGAGTGGCAGAGCGGCCGCCGCCTGATGAGACATGTGACTGCTTGGTGCACGACTAAGTATTGCGGCTGCGTGCTATATGCAAGGGGCTAACAGTAGAAGGACAATCGCGTGGTGATGAAAATGTACCTCAAGTTCTCCGTTCACTCCAAGTTGCGATCCTAACCGAGGGATGGAGTTGTGAATTGTGTACACTAAACCAGTGGTCATCATGTACCCCGGAAACTTTTTTGTGAGTTTTGTATCCCGACTTGCATTCAGCGCCCTTGCAAAACGTCTATTCTCCCTTCGTGCAGTACTGGGAGCAGCTGGGCGAGATCGTGCGGACCGTCGTGAGCGAGTACCCAAAGCTGCGGACAACGCACGGGCGCAAGGTGCTGGAGGTGCGGCCGAAGGTCGAGTGGAACAAGGGCACCGCGCTTGCGTACCTGCTGAAAGCTCTAGGTGGGTCATATTGGTTACGTGGGTCAGTTGCTTTCTCAAAGCTTAATTCTCCCGTTCGGAAACGTTCTGGAGTGTTTTCGTCTCAGGATCCGCACTTCAAAAAGGTGCTAGCCAAAGGTCACATGGGGCAGAGGCACCCCGCTCCTTCCAAAAGCTTTTGGTGGTTCAAACTTTCTCCTGGATGCTCGAAGTGGCGGCCCTTGACGAACCTGATAGATCTTTTTCCTTGACGAAGCAGTGAGGGGTGTGGGGCACGGGCGCTTGCTTTGCTTATTTTTGGATTCTGGAGAAAGGGAAGGTGTAGCTGACACTTCTGCTTTGCACCGTATAGCGACAGCGAGGCAACCGTTGTGGTGATTGGTGGAAACGGAATCAGTGAAAGCGGCGGTCCCAAAGGGTTGAACGTTGGATTGCGGACACTGTTACCAGATGCAAATTCGAGTTGCCAACGTTCGCTTCCGACCCTACGGTCGAATAATGGAAACTCACTCAGGGTCGCGGCACTTGCCATCGCTCCTGGACAGCTGCCCGACGCCCTCAGATCACTTTCTGAGCTCCATTGTGTAGCAGTACTCCGAGAACATCACTTCAATCCGGACACGTGTCCCGGCACACTGGGTAAAGGCTCACCTTCATTTCCGTTTCTGCATCTGTGCAGATTTAGACGACTCGTCGGGCGTTTTGCCGCTCTACATAGGGGACGATCGGACGGACGAGGACGCTTTCAACCTGTTCCAGGAGCGGGGCTGCGGGTGCGGCATCCTAGTATCGACCGTCGCGAAACCCACGGCCGCCGCATACTCGCTACGGGATCCCTCGGAAGTGAGTCCCCTTTTTTGAACCGCTGCTTCTCCTTAGGCCGTGTAGCTGGCGAGTTTACTTCATGACGAGGGTCTTCGACCAACCCCCTGGAGCGTATCGCCAAGTGACAGATGGTTCCCGCGCCTTCTTTCGGTCTGCTTTTGTGCGGCATCCTCGTGTCGACTGTTGCGAACTCCACGGCTGCCGTGTACTTGTTACGGGATCCCTCGGTCTTCTTGTGTTGATGATTCGTACCGGACTAGGGCTTTCGTTCGTTTCCAGCTAGGACCGTGAGCAGCGGAAGGGCGGCGTTCTGCTCGGTTCAATGTCGCAACGCCAGGCCTTGATGGAATAAGGGCAGGAAAAGTCGCGCCCGTCTTCCTTGCTGCTTTTGCGCCCTCCGGCTCTCGGTTCCTGTAATTGAGGGTCCGAGACACAACATCCCTCAGGGTCAAGTTGCCAAAGGGCATAGGATTTGTGCTCCGTTTTCCGGCTCGCTTTTGCGCGTTCATCTTTGCCGACTCGGCATTATGTTGCATTCAGCTTCGACGCTTTCGGCTGCTGATTCTTGGTTACGAGAACCTAGGAACTGGTTTGCTAACAAGTGATCGCTGTTGCAACCAGGCTTACTAACGTTCCTCAATCACTGGTGCTCGTTATCATAGATGTCAGAAGCGGTTTGGTTGTTGGCATTTGTTGTGTCTTCGTCGTAAGCAAGAAACGGCTTTTTGGCCATACTGGTAGCGGCCGTGGCTACATCATCTCCCTTATGCAAAAGCGCACTTTCGCTTGTATCCGCATGGGGGAAAGTTCTTTGAAGGTTGTTTTGTCCTCGCTTAAGCCTCGTTGCTTCGTCTTCTGTAAAGGGACATGATTCAGCGGTTTTTATCAGATGATTAGAATGTAACTCTGCATGACAAAAGGCCCATCCTCTTGTCTTTAGAGGGCTTCGATTGTCTGCAATCTTTATTAGTGGGCGTTTGTCACTTGTCATTGTTTTGCTATGCAACTATTGATCTCTTGAGTGGCGAGCGTGACTGAGGTCTTCAGTAGCAAAAGGCATAGAGCGGGTTCTAGTCGACGTGAATTTTCTGGAGGGAAGTCATCAAACACACTGTTATTGCTTCATCGTCCAAGAAACTACGTTTGTGTGATTGCAGGTCTCCGACTTTCTTCATCGCCTTGTGAAATGGAGGCAAGAAGACCAGAAGGTTGATCAGGCCTCCCAATAATTGAACGTGCAGTGTATGTACATTTGCGGAGACATGGCTTGCCACCACCTTGCAGCATAAGTTGTGGCCTTGACGGGACACGCTTGACGTCCAATCATGAATCAAATATTGCCTCATGCCAGGCTCTACGGCCTTTTGTAGGCTGCATTGAGATGGGCTCTTTGCATACGGTGGTGCACCAGAGGACATACTCAGTGCTTGCGGCCAAGTAGAAGAAAAGATTGAACCTAGATTTGGAATCCGCGCTTGAATGATTGCAATCATTGATGCGAATGCTTGCAACACACGACAGCGATAGCCGGTGCATCACCGTTTGATACTAAGCCTGAAGTGCCGGGTGCCACGTACGGATCGGTCCGTCGGACCTGCGGCCCTTGCATGTTTAGTCTTCATATTGTTTGTACATAATTCTTGCCGGACTCATGCCACTGACTCGCGATTGTCGGGCCATGTGTGCACGAGATGCAAACGTTGCGAATGCGGATTGCAGATCCTTGGCAGAATCCGATGCAGTGTTTATCTGTGCATTGCAACCCACTTAGTGGACCGGAACCTGGCTTGAATTAGCGCGCCGCTCTCAGCAACTCATTTAAAGGGTAGCCTGCCGGACAATCAATAACTTGGGCCGGCCGGGCAGCAGGCGAAAATACTAACATATCGAGTCAACCGATCATTGCGATCGACAGTGCACTAGTTGGCGGCAACTAATGATAATCTGAATGTAGGCAGACTCAACTATTCAGATAAAACTTGAAAGCAGTTGTACTACTACCGTATCATTACAGTTGCACAAAGTATGCATGTTTTCTCAAAGTCACCAGCTCTAGCGGCCGCGCTATAAGTTATAACTTGAACATTCAGGCTTGCCCAGTGGATTGTCACTGAGTCTCTTTTCGTTCTCGCCGTAGCCAAACTGATAGGCCAATGATAGGCTTCTCATTCTCTCATGCATGGCATACATGTATGCCATGATGAGAGTGTGTGACGGTTCCTTTGCCAGTGGATCGCGCTAGCCGTCGCATCGGCTAGCGATGACCTCGCGGTACGGTACCGTTGATGATGCCATGCTGGCCGCCGGGCCTCAATGCAGTCGGATCGAACCGTCCATCCTCGCCACGCGTCATATATAGTGGCACTCCCAGGTCTGCGCGCGGCATAGTGCCACGCCTGCGCGCACGGATCGGGCACCTGGTTCGGTACTAAAGTACCTAGCTAAAGCCTACAGTACGTGCAGACTACCGGTGTACCGGTACCTTATAATACTGCGTTCGGGACACGGAGCTTGCAAACGCTGGCGTTAGTTTGATCGAGGTACGGTAGCAGGTACTGTGTACCGGTATTATAAATGTACATACCGTGACTGCAGTAGCGCGTGACTAATGAGTCGTGACAGCAGCGTGGCAGTAGCGCCGTTGCAAAACATGATGCCCTTCGCCGGCTGTAGGCACCTACCCAGTCAACAGTTGTGACTCGTACCGTCTACCTTACTTTCTTTTTGCTGGTTCGCAGATCATACGGTAGGTAGTATCCTGATTTCTGACTGTATAAATTGACAGAATCGACAAGATTGAAAGTGCAGCCAAGCCTGTGTGCATAATCAACCTTGTCTCTCGAGTCAAAGGCACGAGAGAGCCTTATCCGCATCCTTATCCCTTAGCAACTTCGCATTTAGATAGTATGGTGCATGTTGGAAGCAACTGACATCATGCCCGAAGGCAACGGCGCAGTACCTACGGTATACCGGTACCGTTACGTGCTACCTAGGTGCGATATGCAGGGCAACTCGAGCGAAGTCATTTGCTCTTGCAGTTTGCTGTCTTTCGGACTGGAACAGTGGGACTGTGCAATCCCGGCCCGTTGTGAGAGTGACGACACGAATCGCGATCGAGTCACGGGCGGCCCAATTGGGCCAAGGCGTAATCAGGCAGGCTGGTACTTCGTCTGACACACATGCTGATCTTTTCACAGTGACACGTGCCTGCTCGTCATTCTCGTCTGACAGATCCTAACAAATATGCAACCGTGTACTTTTCGGCCGGCGCTGGTCAATGTTGCACAGCTAGGTGCATAGGTGACAGCTTAATCAGCCATCTAGGCCGGCATGTTAGCGGGGCGGAGCCACTCTCACCCAGTCTGCCAGATACAGAACCTGAGATCAGCGATGCTAATAGGTATTTGCGCAAACCAGCGGACCAGAAAAATCCTAACATTGAAGATCGCTGGCACCGTACTTCAATGGAAGTGGTTGACTTTTGAAGGTACGGTACTAGTACTGGATTGCGTTGGATTTGATGATCCACCAACTAAACCAGTGCAAAAAGTGTCACTTTGAACAGCTAAACAATCGAAAAGCTGCAAAAAGCAGCTGTCAGCAACACATTGAAAGTCTACAGGTCTGTAAAAAGATGGAAGAGTGTCACCGGCCCCGCTGACTCTGACAGCTATATTTGCAGGCTGTTAAAGCGATTCGGGAGTGTCAGATCCAGGCAGTCGTAATCTACCGTAGAAGGTCAAATGAGCATAAATCAGACAGCCTACTGATAAAGCTCTTGCTATAGACCTCAGCTAGCGAGACAAGACTAGACGGATCAAGCCCGGATCCAGCTAGAGAGGTACGGTAGTTCATTGAGATCTTAAGAGATCAGGTAAATCGCATTAATTTTCGTTCGGGATTCCCCAAGTTGACTAGTCCTTTTGAGTGACATCATTGAGCGCACGAATAGAGCACAGCGCCTTTAGCAGGTGTGAGCTGCCAAATGATCCACCTACTAAGCACGACTAGTACAGCTAAATAGTAGCTGGTTCCCTTCTTTGGTGCATCGATACATCACAAAATCATGTAAGTCCTGGCACAGGGTTACACTGGTTTGCAGCATGGCCAATGATGCAGGCACAGCAGGCACAGCCAAGTTCACCTCAGGATATGTAAAGTCAGAGCAGCAAGCTACCGTTGTAGGACCAAGTTCATGGCGCTTTCGACGTGAAAGATATACCTGGCTAAATTCAATCTCATGTATACATCATGAGCCTTCAATACGGTAGCAAACGCAAGTTCAACACTAAGCACAGTGCATGTAGAGGTTCGGAAGAGGTAATATGGCGGCGTTCAAGGATGATGGAGAGCTTGGCGAACAAGAAGACACTTGTACTCCTTCTGAAAAGCCATCCAAGTCAGGGGCACCCATTCATGACTCCACACATGTGGACAAGGAGGAAAGTGCAGTTTCATGGGGAGGAGGTCCAGGTGACCTGCAAGTTGCTGACACTGTCCTGAATCAAACAGAAGCTCCGAAGGGTAGCAAGATGGTGAGTGGCATCTCTTCAAATATCTTGTTCCTTCTTTGTCTTTGGTGGCAGCCATTACAAGGGCTTCGACAGAAGATTGGCATATAAATTGTTCAGGCTCGATTGCTTGGAATATGTCCTACCAGCAAACCACACTGCCACGTTTCGGGTTTTGCAATTGCCTTCCTAATAACCCGTCCTGTCCTTAGGTATGACTGATGACGACATCCAGGAGTTGAGTAGTTTTCTTGGAAGACTGCCGCAGACTTTCAAATAGCTGACTCTTCTGCATATGTGGCACACTAAACACCGGCCAATCAACACCAGTTCAGCACCCAGTCTCTAAAGCGAGCATGTAACGACCTGTTGACCTTCCTCTAACCAGACAATGTTCAAGGTGTCTGGATATCATCTGCCAGTGACAAGTGTCCAACTGATGCGATTTTGAAAGCATTTGCAGTACTTGCCCGAGCGCTCTGATTCATATGTGATTCTCATTGGTCCTCATTCCTGTCCAGGAGTCCCCCCTGCGAGCAGAGGCCCGGTGCACTCAACTTACGGTGTTCTTGATGATCTTTGCTGCCGCGCTTGTCACGGCCTTGGCCCTTTTTGTGCGAAGCCTGTACCTGGATGCCAGCCAGTACACCACAGGCCCCCCGCCTGGGGACCATACCAGGGTATGTTCGAGGACCTACCGTTACTTGCAAAGGCGAAGCAGCTTCCTTGCAGCCTATCAAACAGTGGGAAGCTCTGTCTCTAAATGGTAGAATTGCAGATTCACGAGCATGCTGGCCCTTCTTTGTCAGAGAGGCAGAAGGCTACAGCTTTTCATGACAGCGTTGCCTGATGTAGGTAAATTGACCTGCTCCTCAGTACTACCTTGTCGCTTGTGTTTGGGCCTTTCCTCACGGCTGTTCACTTTCGAAAGTCAAGGACCTTCAAAGAAGTACTACAACCTGAAAGCTCAAAGAGGCTGTTTCCACCAAGAGATCGCAAAGTACAACCTGTTCTTGACTCGTCATAGGGCTGTCAAATAATTCTCTTTCCTGTCGGGGAGACTCCAAGGAGCTGCCATGCCTTTACTTCGCTTGGCCCTGTATAGTGCTAGAAGTCTGAGGTTATATCCCCTCGATCGTCTTACGAACCACACCAGTAAAACAGTATTCAGTCCCAGAGATCAAATTCTGGTGACACGCTCCTTCTATCCAAATCAAAGCAACAGCAAGCAACTGGCAGATTCGTGCTCTGTTCTTCAAAAGCTTTCCAGTCACCGAGGTGCAGATTGAATATTGTTTCACCGACTAGCTTCTTCTCGTTGGAGAAGTATATGGAAAGAATCGCCACGTTTCTTCTACATATGAGCTTACTGAATCTCCCACTTGTTCCCTCGTACTCCCCTGGCTTCCACAAGAAATATACGAACTTCATCGTCTGTTATGCAGGTGGGAGTGATTGCTTTCAGTTGCGCACTCGTGATTTCCACATGCATCTTCACGTGCCGTACTGAGAGGGAAAAACGGGCTTCTGTAAGTACTCTTTCCTGTTCTTGAAGTTCTCTTTGTGCTGACCATATCCTGCCTCTTCATAAAGCTCTCGTTTTCCAACACCTTGGTGAATAGCTTCAGCGAGATCTTGACCGTTTGAACGATATACAAGCTGCTACCGTAGGCACGTTTTTCTTCTGAACGATTTGATGATGGTATGAAAGTTTTAGGAGCTGAGCTGCGAAAGTGAATCATTTACGAATAAAAAGCTTCACCGTTTGTATTCTTTCAGCTTGATTCTTCAGGCTTCGACGTTCTTTCCGCCGAGGATGGCGTTGCTGATTGACAGTCTGGAGCTGGTTGCTTGATGGCGTCAAAACTGGCTGCTCGAAGCCCGGCTCGAAGCAGATTCGGTTCAGGCTGCACCTTGTCCAGAGTCTACATCCTGCCTTATCTGCAGGCCGCTCTGGTAGCGTATATCAACGGAACTGCATTGCTCACTTACGTTCTTCTGGACCGAGATTACACACCGGTGTTAGTGGACCACTTTGGGCGACCGCACTATCCGGCCCGCTTCTTACAGTGGATGCTCACAACGCCCATCATGATATACTTGACTGCCTCGATATCCGGCCAGAGCCATCGTCAGGTGAGGACAGTCCCGGAGATATTCTTAGCTGCCATAGCAGGCAGATGAACCAGTGTGCTGCCAAATTGCACCCTGGACGCTCTAAGTTGCAGCTTGACTTGGTCGAGATGGAGGAATCGTGCTCCGTTCCTCATGGCCGGAGGCTCTAGCTCCATAGAGCCAGCCTTTGTGTTCTCCGGCTTGTTGGTCTCTCTGGGCATCTTCAAAGTGCTCCCAGCTGTAGATGAAAGGAAACGTTGCTGCACGCGGATACACGCCTGGTTTTGAGAACTAAGAATGTTCACACGCTTTTGAGGTTGAAGGAAGCGCTTTCTGCCATTTCTATGTTCCATCAAGGATGGGGACTCAAGGCAACAAGACTCCTGCGAAGAAATATTTGCAGAAGAACTACAATGAAGATTGGAAACCAGCCTGACCAGTGATGACCTTGTTCACATCAGTGTCTTTCAAAACCGATCCGTGGCCCTATCAGGACTGCTTTCAGAAGTGGCGGATATTTCAGGGTCTGACGAAATTGCCTTTGGTTGCAGATCATTCTGAATACCTTCTGTGACCTGTTCATCCTGATGGTCGGGCTCAACGGACTTCTCAGCTCCTCCAACCTTATGAGCGGCGTCTGCTTAACTGCAGCGGGCTTCGCTTTTGTGACCCTTCTTAGGAACGTGCACAGAATGACCAACGACGCGGTACTCGAGGTAATGGGAAACAAGGCAGCAAGCAGCTCGAGTCGGCTGTTCGGAACGATGTTAGCTAGCTACATGCATCTTTCTTCCCACCAGTATAAGATAGACGTTGCTGAGAGGTTTGAAATCAACCATTTCCAGGGTATGAAAGGTGAAAAGGGCCGACACCTTTAGAAAGCCTTTTGAATTCCTGGCTACGAGTTCGCGATGCTACTACACGGCATTGAAATTGGAATGAGTCCTGCGTACAACTTCCCTTCCAAGCTTGCAGCATTTTTCGCCTCTGATGAAACTCGACGTTGAGCCAATTACGCACGCAAATCTGCCAGTCGAAGTCAAATCTTCATAGACGTTTCTCTTGCAGACACGTGACTCGGGATGCCACTGGAGCTTCCACCTTCTGCAAATATACATTCTGACAACATGGACCGCCTTCCCGTGCGTTGCATTCTTGAGCGAGACGAACCTGGTCAGCCCAATAATGGAGGCTCACATGTTCCTTGCGCTCGAACTCGCGTGCAAGGTAAGAGGGCCCTCAAGCAGAAGGGAATTCCTTTTGAAAATAGCCATTGCGATGCTTGGCTTCTATACTTTACGTCCAGTCTCAGACTTTCGGCGCCACAGCCTGAGCACATTTCTCTGGCGAGCTTTTGAAGCATTCCGACAAGGACCGAATCCAGAAAGGATGCCATAAAGATCGAAGCGATACCTATGCTCTTGCGACTAGCTCAGAAACACCTTTGTTCTCATTGCAAAGATCTGACTAGTAACTCGAATTGGACGCAGTTTGTCTTCTCGGCTTTACTACTCGAAGGGAAGTTTTTGTCTCTTGAGGAGAACAGGCGCGTCGCGGAGGTGGCCCGCGATGAGAGCAACAAAAGTGCGCTCATCGAACAGCTTCAACAGGCTATCACAGAAAAGAACCGTTTTTTGGCGTCCGTGTCGCACGAGCTGCGGACACCTTTAAACGGCATCATCGGACTGTCTGACGCCATGCTCCTGGTGAGACCGCTGACTCTGAGCTATTCGGCTTGCAGTCCTGTTCGAATAGCTCCTTGGACATTGTCTGCTCCAACTTCACGTTCCTTGCTGAAATTTAGCCCGCTCTGTCGTCCTTCGAAGACGAGCTTGACGACGCAGGTGAACAGAGTTTGACTTGATGAGCTCTAGATCGATCTTAATTATCTGCTTGTTGGGTGCCAGATCGGTAGTACTTCTATGGTTGCTGTCCGTCTCCTTGCTTGCAAACTGTCTGTACTTTTCGGACGCGAGCAGAACTTAGACGGACGCTTGCAGGGGTCCTTGGGGGAGGTCAATGAAGACATGAAGAAGACACTAGAGACAATAAAGCAGAGTGGCGGCCGTCTCAAGAATCTCGTAAATGGTAAGTTCCCTTTCCGGCCAAGTCTGACACTTCCGAACAACTCGTCCAAGTCCTTTGACTTGCCACCACAAAGTTCTGAAAGGCAGCGGAAGGTCGAGCTCGCAAAGTAGCACAGCTGACCTCACCTTACATCTGAATGTTACTTGCAAGACACTAGGAGCTCTTCGCCTGCGAGTGAATGATGCTGCAAACCTTTACTGAGGTTTCCCTCAATTGCAGATATTTTGGACGTCGAATCCTTGCGCCAGCGCAAGCTGACGTTGCACTACGAGGTAGTCTACCTTCGCCACCTTGTAGATCACGTCATGGATCTGACATCACCTATGGTCAAATGGAACGTAAAGGTAAGATCTTCTCAACAGAGGCTAATAGACGACAAATAAAGAACATGTTACGCTCTCGTCCCATAATCAAAGAAGATCCAAGCTGATCCTCGTGAAAGCTCAGTCGTACGACGAAAGAAGCAGGTTTAGCTTCAGCCTTGTCTCTTCGTATCCGGAAGCCGTCGCTCTCTCAAAGCACAACGTCTCCGGTCAGTGGACCATACCTACCCCATTACACTGAAGGCTGTTTGCCTGCTTTTTTTGCAGCTCTATAATGACGTCTCCAAAGACATTCCGGAGATCGATTGTAATCAGGCACGGCTGATTCAAATTCTGCACAATCTGGTCGGCAATGCTGCCAAGTTCACCGACGGTGGTAAGTCTTATGCTGCAGGTTCCTTTAGGCCAAGTCGCCCCACATTTGAATAGCCGGCGCTTCATCCAGTTTTTGAGATGCAGTAAACTTCCAGTCGCTTACCTCTCTCATTCTAGAAGCCGTGGATTTATATTTCACTCTGAGACTCTTGAGGGCCGACTAGATCTTTAGTTTCTATATGCCAATTGGTGCAGAGTCTGCAGGACCTTTGAGCATCTTGACGACTCTTCTTTTCACAGATTTGGGGACCGGCTGATAACTTTGCGTCTATGAGCATTTCAAAATCTATTAAAAAGCCTGCTGTACTTGAGAAGATCGAACCACTTTCATAAGCCAAGTCGACCTGGTCTTTTGCAGGAGAGATACGCGTCTGCGCCAGAGTACGAGAAACTGATGACGGGCATGAGTTCATGATTGTGGACGTCAGAGACACAGGTCAGTGATTTCATCTTGCAATTTGTCAGAGTAGTAACGAGAACACGCCTCTTGCACCACATCAAACGATGCGAATTGTCTGTCGTGGGCCGTTTGAATCCCGTCTCCTTGAGGGTGTCAGTTGCTCCCCTGGCTTTCTGCCAACCATGTTCTCTGTCATTCATCACATGGCCGATCGCTTTGATGCTCCTGTCCATCCTTGTTATTCCCCTTTAAAAGTGTGCTGGCGACCACTATCTTTCTCCCTATCCGCAACCTCGGGGCGACAGCTCGACTCTATCTTCGTGGATTTCTGCCTTTTCAGGGACTCCGTGCAAAAGCGCACCCAATTTTGGCAATAGACCAACATATTTACCCTGTTCTCAATCCCTTGTTCTCGCTTTCGCAGGCATCGGCATCCCTAGCCACAAGCTGCAGACGATCTTCCTCGCGTTCGAGCAAGTGAATGAGACGAGTATGGACCAGCGCGGTGGAACCGGGCTGGGGCTCTTCCTCGTGGATTCCCTTGTGCGCGCGCATGGCGGAACCATCTCCGTGACGTCCGAAATCGGGCACGGCAGTTGCTTCACACTCAAGCTGCCCCTCAAGCATGTGAGCACATCGCAAAAAGCGGTCCGCGCCAACGTGCGCGATACGAGGTCTCACAGCTTATAATCGTAGGAAGGAAGATGAAAGTCATTCTGCGTTTAACGGCTGGAAGGTTCCCTGAGTCATGCGAACAAAAGACGGTTGGATCTGTGAGTACGAACTGGCATCGGAAAAATGCTCGCAGAAAGTAGTACGCTTCAGAGAGGACCCTGTTGCGGTGGTTGGCGGCTACCTTCTGTTGTGTCAGAAGACTTCTTCATCGAGCTGAATTCACAGCTTGTTATCTCTCGAGGTTGGTTGGCATAAGCGTGCATTTTAAGCTGACATCTGTTATGTTGTCACATGCAGTACTGGATCTTTCCGTTCCCTCATTGTAAAGTAGTTCCAACTTCCATCTCCGGCTTTGGTTCCTCACAGTAAAAGGCCTACGACCAGCATACACCTGATCATATATTGAAAGCCTCGAAGCCACTGCAGGTTGATGTTAATAAAAGCAAACCCGGTCCGGCTCCGCGTTCAAGGCTGGTGTCGCTCGCTGTCAAGACACCTGACGACGGCCTCAACAGTACACCAAAGACGGCGTCATCTAAGGCCACGTCACCGAAGGCGACGTCACCGAAGGGCACGTCACCGAAGGCTGTCACGCCTCCCGGAGCCAGGTCACCGAAGAACACATCACCGAAGGCCGCATCACCCGCGGCCGCGTCACCCATGGCCGCATCGCTCAAACAAAAGTTGACGGGGTCCCCAGGTCGAATGTTCGTCTGCAGTGACGGCAAGGGGCACGTCACACTGACCCCCAAAACCGCTCTGGCAGCCATCCCCGACAGTGACGTCACACAAGATGAAAAGCGAGCAGTGACGTTCGAAGCTGGCGGCGCGGGAATTCCCAAAGGGGACGGCGGGAGCACCCCCGAGAGCGGCAAGAAGGGGTCCCTTTCACGGTGTGCGAGCACGAGGCTCGTCGGAAATCTTTATGTGGGCGAGTTTGAGCTGCCGAAGCGGGCCGTTTCGGCGCCGGCGACCGCTGGACAAGAATCGTCAAAGATAGCGCGGAAGGCGGGTTCTTTATGGCCCGACTTGCGGTCACTCAAGCCCGTGGAGGTAGAGCTCTCCTTCAAAGACCAGGTGAGTCGCGGGCATTTCAGAAGCCAAAGTTGGGCGTCGAGCTACTATTTCAACGAACTCCCACAATCTCGAGGTGCAAGCTGTCCAATATGGTTCGACCCCTAGGTTGTGGAGTTGACATCGTGACGTCATGAAGCCCAACGCTGTTGAGATTAAACATAAAGCAACCTTGCGGGTATCCGTAGGGTCTTCTCCCTCTGGTACACATGCACGTTTCCACGAGAAGGGATTCAACGAAAGATATTTTTCCAACTTGCGTTCAGGACTTTCTTCATAACAATTGTTTGGAATGATTCGGGGAAGATTATCTGCTCCACGAAGCAGAGCAGATAAGGCTGAATGGAAATCATCACCGGGTAGACGGCACAGCGATGTATCCAAAATGATCGTCAGGATCCAGTTGGGAGTTACACAGATCAAGCTTGCTAGCGGGCAGGAAAAAGTCGACACCCCGCCTCAGTCCAGCCGTTCTCTCAGCCTTAGTCCAGCCGTTCTCTCATTGCAGACTGAGGACCACAGCTCGACTGCCGTGCACTATCCGACCAAGCTGCGCTCTCACTACGAAGTCCACGGGCAGTACGAGATACTAAGCGTGGACGACGACCGGGTGAACCAGATGGTGGTCGACGGACTGCTGCGGCCTGCCGGGTACAAGGTACGTACCAGATTGTTGAGATCATTGACACGATCCGCTCTGTCCCTAGTCTGCCGTAGAGCCTAAGCCGGCTATCAGATTCCACTTTTTTGTGAGCGATAAAAAACTCGACGTCACCAAGAACCAAGGAGAGGGACACATGCCGTACGTCCAGCACTTATTGCTTTAGCGACTGTAAACTCAAAGGTCGAAACTCAAAGGTCGTGTCTGATCCATCAAGAACTCGGAACCTTGCTGCGCTGCGTGTCTTTAGCGGTTATGTCTGAAAGCTCAGAAGAAAGTTTCTGTCAAAACAACCGGCATCACTAGCAAACCAACATGCTCGTTCCCCTTTGACCATACTGTTACACGTACAGCCATTGGGCGTTCTTCAAACTATAACAGATCGGTGCGTTCTTCAAACTATTACAGATCGTTGCGCGTACTGAAAGAACGAGTCTTCAGGTGGAGCTCTGAAATCGCATTCTTGACTAAGTTGCCGGGCCAGGTAGGTACACGGAAATTCAACAAAAGCAGCCCCGTTTTCCCCGCAGATCACGAAGAAGATGGACGGTATGGAGGCCCTGGCATATCTGGAGGGCAGCGAAGTCATTCCGGACCTGATCATGCTCGATGTCATGATGCCGGGACTGGACGGATACGAGGTAAGCGGGTCGCCCCACCTTTGTGACCTTTGCTGCGAACGTTATCCGATCTCCAACACTGTAGATGAGTCGAATGGAAGCCCAGAAGGAGGATAAAAGGAGCCGTAGATTCTGGAGAAAGAAATCATTTGAAGCAGATGAAGAAGCAAAGGCAATTGAATCCAGTCGGAAGGGACGACGGATTCTCACGGTTGAAGCGTCTGGATGATGTATTGGGATCCACGAAGCATATCACATCGCTTCCAGAGCAGCCGCTTCTGAAGGGGCACCAAATACAGACCTTTCCAGATCCAACTCTTCACGTTTGGAGTAGAGACCGTCTGAATATTAATCAGCCTTTGAAGTTCCTTAGAACGCGTCGAAAGTGTTCCCAGAACCTCACCGATTTGGAAAATTTCAGATCCTCTGATTCAATCCCATCTCAAGGCAGGGAATGTAAACGAGAACTAATGGCCCCACTCTTGAAGGAATCGTTCATTTGACTGCTGCGTTTCTCCAGTTATTTCGGATCGAACGAAGCCCCGCCTGATCCCAACCAACTCTCAGTGCTGTCGCTGCGAATTCAGCCGGACGAAGCATATAAGTTGCCCAATCTCTTTCCCGCAGGTGTGCAAGAAGGTCCGCGAGATGTTTCCCTCGAGCGCGCTTCCTGTGATCATGGTCAGCGCCAAGTCGCAGGAAGGAGACATTGTCAAGGGGCTCCGTGCGGGTAGCAACGACTACCTAACCAAGGTGAGACCGGCGTACGAAATCATGCGCCATCGCATGCTCAACTAATCTTGCCTTTAAAGCGGGCGTCTGATAACCCGGACCAAGTAGCACATCTCACTGTGTCCAACGTCAGTCGGGCGACGAAAAGCTCACCGCAAAACAATGTCACTTTTTCTGGCTTGCGGATCGTTGGCCAGACTATTCGAGGGCGTCCACGTTAGAATGACTTCGAGCGCGCATTCAGATCTAAGCTAAAATTCCAGAAGTGATTTCAGGACTACGCTTTCCATCATGTCTCCAAAACCAGGTAAGCTTCTCAAAGCCTCCAAAACCGGCTCTTCTCCCTGGATTTCGCTCTCAGCTGTTTTGAGCGGAACAGGGTTTTCACCGCGCTCAGGAAAGGTCCCGAGTTCTCCAAATACCGATCCCTTCCTCTGATTTCCACCACTAAGGGTTGAGCTTTCGGCCATCCAATTTGCCGCGCGATCCTTGGCGACTGAGCTGCCCGAGGCACGTGTCAAAACCTTCAGCATTTACAAGAGGTCCGCTTACTGTTTCCGCCGCGTGGCGAAAACCTCCCATCCATTTTGGCGCCGAGCTCAGCTCCACTGATGAGTGCAGATTGTTTGAAAAATCATTACTAGAGGACTCCTCCCCTGATTGCAGCCGTTCAAGCGGCTGGAGATCCTGGCGCGTATCGAGGTGCAGCTCAAGATCAAGAGGCTGTGGCGGGTGGAAATCGAGGCTAAGAAGAGCTACCAACTGCTCAAGAAGATGCTACCTGATTCGATCATCGAACGGCTGAGCGCGGGACAGTCTCTTATCGCGGACAGTCACAAGGAGGTGAGTGTGCATGCGCTGTGGTCGGCATCGGGCTTTAGGATGAACAGGGGGAGTAACGTACAAACAGAGGAATATACTGCAGCAGGAGTAAGGAAGTGAAGAAAAGCGATTTAGTTTCCGGGAATGCATACCCAGGATAATGGCAGGAGGAATTGAAAGGAAGGAAAAAGCTTGCAGAGCTCCTCGATTGCCCTCTCTGCTCAATCAAAGATTAGACCCTTTAGCCAAAGGGGATCAAGCAATTCGCGTGCAAGAAGCGTTTCTGTCTGGTTACTGACAGCAGCATCCTTGCTCTGCCAGACTCCGATTCTCCACGCAACGTCTCCCCACGGTATTTCGGGGCACATTTGAAGGCATGTGAGTGAAGATCTCTGATTCTTTCGATCCTTATTCGTCGCAGGTGACGATTCTGTTCAGCGACATCGTAGGATTTACGGAGATTTCCGGCTCCTCCGCAACGGAAGATCTCATTCTCATGCTCAACGAGATGTTTACGGCCTTTGACGCTCTGGTTGACAAGCACGGTGTTTACAAGGTGAGGATTTTATGAAACCGGTATTCAGCACAAGCTCTCTATCAGGGGCTTTCTGTCAAATTCCTCAGGAGGGAGAGAGGAGCTACATCCGTAAGCTGCATATCTAAACAAGCGACGAAGTGACGTGTCGCCCCGAAGTGGAGGTAATATATGAGTTTCCACCCTCTTCTTTAAGTTCTTTAGCCTTTTGAGTTTATGGTGAGGGGCTCCAGTCTTTCCTTGACCACAGTCACTAACGCCTCATCCCTGTCTCTTTGCAAGTTCAAGTGGCGCCTCGGATGACATACATAGCCTGGCCGCTCCTTGTGTGCGACCGATCGACGTTTTGAATTGGACAGGGCTTAACCCGTTCTGAAAAAGTGACTCAATGGCGGAAAGAGAAAGCTTTGCGCCTCCGCGTAGTACCTCGTCTTATGGTCTGCTTCTCATCGTTTTTCACAGCTGCAGGCCAAAGCGCTCTCTTTTGTGAAACCGTTTCACAAAAGAGAGTACCCCGGCGGGGAAAGTACTCCGGCTGATCTGCGATGCTCAGAGCTACTTTCTGAGCCGTTGGAAAACCGTCACTGGAACGCGCAATTGGTTTTCAATATGGATGACTGGATTGAATTTTGAATCTCACAGGTGGAAACAATCGGCGACGCTTACATGGTGGTGGCGGGTCACGATGGATCGCCCGACCACGCCCTTCGGATCGTCCGCATGGCCATGGATATGCTCGCCAAAGTGCGCGACGTCAAGCAGCCAAACCACGTGGACCCAGTGCGCATTCGGGTTGGGATACACACTGGCCCGGCGTATGCAGGTAATGATTGGGCCTTCTCTTCGATTGATTGAGGTTTTGAATCTCTTGGAGTCAAGATTGTTTCGAAAAATAGAGTTGGACCACTGCATCGCTGCCCGTGGACGTATCTGCCTTGAAAGGTTGATCAATGAAGAAGTTGGCGCCGATCCAGAGCACTTGAACAGTTTGTCCATCCACTTCTGGACAAAGATGGGCTTGTAGAATAAGTCCCGTGAAAATTGCGTCAACTCATGCCCGTTGAGATTTGGAGAACAGCATGCGAGCTCTCCCTTTTAGACAGGTCAGAGGACTGGACGATTCAGCTTCGACAGACGCACTCGGCTGAGAACGGTTCGCGCTACCACCGGATTCTCATCCGACCCTTGCCGCTGAGGTATCGCTCTTCTGTTCCAGAGTTTGACAGGGGCTTCAGTGAAGATCTGCCGGCACCTAGTTCGTTACTATTGGAATTGATGAGTGAAGAAGCAGGTAAATACAGACATCAGATACCTATATTTCTTTCCTCAGGTGTCATCGGGACGAAGTGCCCGCGCTACTGTTTCTTCGGCGACACGGTCAACACCGCGAGCCGCATGGAGAGCAACGGGTTCCAGATGAGCATCCACACCAGCATGACGACATACGAGCGCTGTCAGGACTCCTTCGAGTTTGCACCGGTGAGAAGCTGGCTTTGCTTTCGGTGCTTTCCTCTTGCTTTAGAACATTAGGATCACAAAAGAGCGCGCATCCGACTGTTCTGCCGGCGACTTCGACGCCGCAAGCGCACCCCGTCGGTCGCCCAGATAGCAGCCAATCTGTTAGCGACCAAAAGACAGGTGCAGCAGCTTTGAGGACGTTGCACAGCTATGCGGGGGGCGCCTCTAATTCAAAAGTGGACCGGGCTGGTCACTTGAACTTCTATACAACGAAAGTATCGTGCTTGGCTCAGACTGACATTTCAAAGCAGGAAACTTCTGCAAGTAGCTGGCTGGAACGCGGGGTATCGTATCTCAAGCTTTTTGTGGCATCTGAGACCGGAGCTCAATCTGAAGCGATATTTGAAACCAAAGAGAAGTGGAAGCTCTGATGAGGTTGGGTTGAGATTCTACGCGTGTAATGCGACGGATTTTCAGGAGATTGAGCGCTTTCACTGCCGCACTTCGTGTTCGCGTGCACCAATCTGTGACGCCTTGATACGGAAATTCAACCATAATCGAAAGAGACTGCTGGCTCTTTTCTCCTTCTTTAGAGTTCAGCAGCTTAACTCTCTTTTCAACAAATGAGCGAGCGCAAGATGTATTCGTACAGGTCGGCCGTCGCATCATCAAGGGCAAAGGACCGATGGAGACTTTCCTGCTGAAGTACGGCGAATACGAGGCTGGGCTGCAGGCGCTGCGCGCGGAGAACCGGCCGACCCTCGCGCGCTCAGACTCATCCCCCGATCTCCTGAAGAGGCACGCGAAAATCGACCCGGCTTCGCTGCCCCCTTCGGTCTCGCCGCTTCTGAAGCAGTCGCTTGAAGGGCCAAGTCGCAAGACTTCCAGGTTCAAGAGCGAGGGGCCCCGGAGAGAGCAGGATGTCGAGTTCGCTCAGGATCTGCCAAGCGGCTACGTGTCTGATGACGTCAGCTGTGGAGGCGGGCCAGCTCCGGGGCGAGAAAGAAAGTTGGACCGGACTCGCACGGGGCCCCGGAAAGAGCAGGATCTCGAGTACGCTCGGGATCTGCCAAGCGGCTACGTCTCTGATGACGTCAGCTGTGGAGGCGGGCCAGCTCCGGGGCGGGAAAAGAAGTTGGAGCGGACTCGCACGCCCCCAAGACGTAGCCTCGGTTCAGCGCTCCTGGGCATAACTCCGCTGCGGAGGAGCGGATCGTTCAGCGGAATGACTGCTCAGAAGGAGGAGTCCGCCCCGGCCGTCAACCCTGACCCGGTACGCACGCTCCGAGTGGACGAGAGCTCTGTGAACAACATTCCGGTCGTGGCAGCTCAGGCGCTAAACAGAAGCGGCGACAGGCCTCTTCCGGAACACGTGACGAGCCACGTGGCCGTGCCTAGGCCGTCGACGGATCTGGGCCGCGTGGCGGCTCAGCAGATGCCAAGCGGGCGGGAGACACCGGCACAGGAGGACGGGATCAAATGGAGAACTGGGTTAGGCGTACAGGACGGGTTGAGCGACCCAACGGGACTCTTCGAGATTCTGGACGGGATGGGCCTGGGGCGGTACGCGAGCGTGCTTGAGGAGGTAAGGCATGCAAACATTTTCTGAGTTTTCTGGGCCCCGCTGTTTACGTAAGTTCCGGTCGACTCCTGCCGGAACTGCAACAACTCAGCATTCGTTTGTCGGAATATCCGTGAACCACGGTGGCGGCGGCCATTCAGTTCCTTCTGAGTGGCTGTCATAGATTGGCGGCTTGGAAAGGCCCCCTCAAAAACTTGGCGGCAGCCTTGCATTTTGTAACGCACGTAAGCTCAGCCCGGAATTCGTCGAGGCCAGTAATTGTCTCAAGTTGGAATGTGTTTGCTCACGAGTTTGCTCCGGTTCCTTAGAGGTTGTGCATCTCTCTGCGGGTCGGAAATAAAGGTCCTAAGTTCCAGAATCGGAAGCGGACTTGGAGGTCAAAGCTATCCTTCTTCTAGCAGGCCTCCTTATCGGAAATCTACGCTTACATACACAGCTCGCTTCTAGCAGCCGTCGAAAAAGTTGAATTAGCCACTGGTCCGTTCAGCAAGCGGCGAAACAGGTCTAATGCACGCTGCCGTCCAGCGCTGACTTCTTTATTGGATTTCGTTTTTCAGGCGGAGGTGACGGTCGACATTTTGGCCACGATGACGCCTGAGCAACTCAAGGAGGCGGGCGTGCAGGCGATCGGCGCCCGTCTGCGGATCCTGGAAGCGTTCAGGGCGCCGAAAGCAACCGGCTCCACTTGAGCCCCGCGGGGGCCGTGCTCGGGTTCCAATTCCTTCCAGAGCGGACGCCGTCGAAGCTTGAACCAAGCTTGCTTTAAGTTCAAAGGGCGCTCCAGTTGGGTCCTTGAGGACAGTACATAGCTTACAGGTTGCATAATTCAGTATAGGTGACTGCGGTCGAGATTCATTTTGCAATTCGTGACAGCTGGCGCAGCTGGCGCACTGAAACATTCTAAGAGGTGCATTCTGCGGTTGAGTAGTTGGTTGATCATTCACGAGTTGAAGCAATGAGGAGATCAGTTGGGCGAAAATAGTCAAAACATGCTGCCGGCTCATCATCGCTTAGAAAGCCACCAGCGTTTTGTATTTTCACAAGCAGGTTTATCTCCAGGCAGCGGGGGCTTTCGACACCCTCTAGACAAGTTAATCGGATAATCAGCATCGTTCGTCAAACTGTAGAAACGGAGATTGATGACAAGCTTGACAAAGTGGAACTTTTATACGCCCATCTGAGTTCAATCCGATGTGGTGGCCGTATCAATTCAAAGGAGCTTCTGGCAGCTTACAAAAGTGCAACCATCAAGTTCTGGTGCGAAAGAAGCACACACAACCGTGTTTCAAAATTTGCTAGGCGACAACAGCATGCGCTCTCACAATCACCGCGACATGGGCCCGAATTATGAGAGGACTCCGTTACAGGGCTGATTGACCTCGAGTGCATATCAGAAGAAAAGCCACTAAAAGTGAACCACCATCGAACCACTATGACCTAACCAGTCTGGTCCAGCCGCCCCTGAGACGGTGGCTCTAGGTGTGGAGTCAGGCACGCTTATGCGCACAGCCCTCCGCGCTGGACTAGCAGCCGCGCGACCGCAGCGGGCCGTTCCCTCAGGTTGCACGCGTCGGAACTTAACTTACCGTAGTAATTTGCCATGCGCGATCACCGAGTCGGCCAGACTCGATCGCGCGTGAAGCAGACTACGCGTCAAAATTGCCCTTTTCCGTGGCTAAGATTTCTGCGCGCGAAAGTCCGAACACTGCCGCGCCCAACGCGGACTCCAGCTACACTAGCACGTATGTCTGGCCCCGCAGACAAGTTGCGGCGACGTCGGAGAACGCTCGAAGGGCTTGAAATTGAACACAGAAGACAATCACTGCAGGCAGGCTCTGTATTTTTTTGGATCTTCGTGACCTGCATGCGAGGGCCGGCTTTGGAATCCTGTGTGCACGCGCGCAGACTTGCAGACTTGCCGGTCGTGGCTGATGTGTAGTACATGTATGACAACCACCACTGACCGTCCGTGATTCAATGGTTGAAGCGGTCCATGCAGAACCGAGGCGGCCAGCGTAGACTAAGTCTGCTAAGACAGATTCGATGGCCGCCACCACAAGCTCGGTCAATTAACTATAGCGTTGAGGGACTTCAACCCATGAATGGATGCAGGAACGCCTAAGTCTCAAGGAGGCTGGCACCACTGATAGTATAGTCAGTGACCGGACGTATGATGCGGTCCGATCACTGCACAGACTCGGAGCTGCCTAACGGACACGCTCCATACAACAGAATTCCATTGAATGATTAATGTTATATGTAGGCGATGAGTTCGTGTTAGATTTAAAGATGGATGGGCGCTTATTCCAGACGAAACGATCAAATGCATTCACTGTGGGCACAAAAAATATACACGGGCGCCAAATTACTAGAAGGACTACGTCTTTGTTTTCAAGATACCCTTCAGGCTGCTTACTTCTCCCTGGCCAACTGGCTCGCTTGCTTTCTCATGACAATCCCCTGTCAATCGCAGGCTCTGCTTGACTATAGTTCGCCTAGGTCTGATTTAGTGATACCCGCGCAGCGTCGCAGCTTTGCGTATTGATCCTAAGCTCCTCGTATTGAGCCTTGATGTTTTGCGGCTCGGTTTCTAGCGGTCGCCATCCAGCCTTGTGAATCTTCTTAGACACTGCGAGCCTTTTCATCAACTAGCCTCTCTACTAAATCTATTAGAGCCGCCTGCCCAAATGGCTTGGTCATCACTGCGTCCATGCCCGCTTCGACGCAACGCTTCGCTGCATCCTCGCTCCCGTCTGCTGTCAGTGCTATGATGGTCACCCTGTTCCTTCTCGCGGCGCCCAACTCTGTCTCTCGGATCCTCCGTGCCGCGGTGTATCCATCCATCACTGGCATCTGAAGAAAGAAGGGTGACACTTCGATTGAGGTGAACGACACTCTGTGGTAGAAGGACCTTTTGCAGCTTAGTGCCTTCAATATCAAATGGATCCGCAGTCTTGAACAAACCGAGGTGTGGGTAGGACCTAAGTAGCTTTTGTCTAGGAGGACATGTCAGTACCCCTATGTGAGAAGGCCCAGTATACAATACAACATGCAAGGTCCAGAGTTTCCAGCCTTTCTCTTCCACTTTGTTGAGGCAAAAACTTGAAAGAAGACTCAACAAGCTTCTAGAGCAGAAATCGCAAGGACGCCGCGATCCATCGCAGCAACATAAAGTTCAAGAGCAAGGTCTTCACCTGACAGTCCATTAGCACCACATCAAACGGCGGCTTTCCGCCCGAGCTCGCCACGTGGAGCATTCCCAGCGCTTCCTGACCGTTTCCGCTTGTCGCCACCTGAGCTCCCAGCTTTTCTATTGCCCTTACGGTCAGCCGGCTTAACACAGGGTTGTCCTCCACAACCAGAAACCGTAACCGCACCCAACGCTGGCTGTCCGCTCCACTCATTGACACATAAGTCTGCTTCGCCTCAGCCTGGCGCGAGAAGATGGGCGATGCAGGGATGATTTCGATCGTAACGTGAGGGTCCGTCGGGTCTTCAAGACTGGCCAGTTCCACCTCAGGGGAATCGGTGAGCGAACGCAAAAGCTGCTCGACCTTGGAGCGGTAGAGCGGCTTTTGCACCAGGTGAACGAAGCCGGCCCGCTGGAGTGCCGCGCGCGTCGACGGCGGGGTGCTTGCCCCCACGATCCACACGACAGCTACTCTGTGTCCCCCAGAAGAGGGTGACGTCACTGCGAGAGGAGGGAGTAAATGGCGTCTGCTGGGAGTCGGTACTGTGGCGTGCACTTTGAAACGGAGTGCGGGGTCACGCCTTTCGAGCGTCATCTACATAGGGCGGGATCAGTTCTGGTTGGGGCGGAGGAAGGCCCGGCGGTATTTTTCCGGAAGCGACAGCCAAAAGGTCGCCGGATGTCACCCCTCCGGACAGTGGTAGAATGTAAGCATATCGATTGACAAGAGGAGACTCGTATGTTGCTTCAACGCCTTCAGCCCCATTTGGGATCACCGCTGGCCCCAACATCTGGGTGAATCCCAGGCAGCTTTGTTACCGAAGCGCGCGTGGTTTCTATAGTCATCGTTTTTATTCTTCCCCCCGGATTGTGCTGCCGTTAGGCTATTTCGGTATTTGTATGCAACCGCTCCGTTCAAATCGCGTTTGCCTCCGAGATTGGTCAAACGCGATTACTGTCATCCAGACGTGGAGAAACATTCAAAATCGAATCCCGGCTTATGGCAGCTACAGACTGACAGCGTGACCAAGTCCAATTGAACGGGACGCATCCTATCAGCGCCGAAAACCTGAACGCCGTGATAATGAAGACGACACTTGCAACTTCAGCGCTTTTGTGCTTGACATCATTTTGAAGTACCCAGAACGAAACCGTCAGTTTCAAATGGACTTAGTTTCCGCCTCGCATCGGGAACTGTAATTACAACAAAGTGGTTTGAATCAGGCCGATGAGTCGCCCCGCAAGGAGACACACGAAGCTTAGCAAAACTTCGCAAAGCGCAGGTCGATCACTCACCGGTGCCCTCTTGAATGTCCGCACGCAACTTCTGCAGCGCATCCTGCAGTACCAGCGGTGCGTCCGCAGCGTCCGGCAGTATCGACGCGTCCAGCAGAGCGCAGCTCAGTGGCGACGCGGCCGCGGCCGCGCCACGGTCGATCAAGCCGCCGGACGAGCTCCGCCGGATGCCGGCCGGATCCAGACACGTCCGGAAGGCGTCCGGAAGGTGCGGGAGTGCCAGGCGGAGCGGTCGGCCTTCAGCATCGCGGAGCGCGGATCCCGCGGGGCCGTCCGGCGGCAGCTCGTCGGCGGTTTGGACGCTGGGAGTGATCGGAGCACTGGCTGGACCGTCCGACTGGCGGGGCGAGGCGTAGCTGGAGCGCCGGCGCCCCAGGCTCGCGAGCGTCCGGATCGCCAGCGAAGTTTCTTCCAGGTTGAGGACTTCGACCACCGTCGCGTTGAGCTCGCGGATCGTCCCGGCGACAATCGACCGGGCCATGAAGTTCGCGTGCGCGAGCACGACCGTGGCCCCGGTTAGCGGGGCGGGGAATTCCACCGGGAAGACCGATGACGGCCGGGGCGAATGCGAGGGACGAGAGGAGCGGCCGAAGAAGGACTGGCCGGATGCCCGGATGGAGACGTCCCGGGCACTCTCCTCAGCCGCAAACACCAGGTCGAAGCAGATGAGGCAGCCCGGGGTGTTCTTATCTACGAACGCGATCTCGCCGTCCATCATGCGGACGACTTTTTGGACGATCCCCAGGCCCAATCCAGTGCCCCCGTGGCTCTGAGTCGTGGCTGCGCCGTCGGCTTGGCAGTAGTCGGAGAAGACGAGGTCGCGCTTCTCGGGGGGGATGCCCCGGCCGGTGTCTTCGACTTCGAAACGGAGCCGGACGGGCCCGGGGTCTGCGCCGGCGTTGGCATCGGTCTCCGTTAAGGCACAGCGAACGACGACATAACCAGTCTGGGGGGGAAAAAGTTAAAACCACCTTACATTAGAATTTTTGAGCAGCACTTCAACGTCTACAAAGGCTGGTATTTAGTCGAGATGATTGAACGAGAGATAGAATTTGGAAGCAAAGTGACGGGTCTGACGTCATAGTGCTACTGCCACAGAAACGATCACTGAAAACTCTGATGACGAGAAGTCGAGGGACTGCAAAACGCTGAGCTGAAAGCTTGCGGTTCCACATGCAAGGATAGGTGAATCGAGGTTGCTAAACAGTGTCGCATACAGCGTCGTAGAAGGCAAAAGAAAATCAGAGGCATAGCTTTCAAGCATAGGTCTTTCCGAACACAATTTGCCGATCTGCGAAGCAGAATTCTGTGCCACATGAAGGAAGCTATTAGAGGCGGGGCCTTTTCACCTCAGTGAATTTGATACTGTTGCTTAGTAGGTTGGAGAAAATCTGCCGGATCCTGGTGGCGTCTCCCAAAAGTTTCCTGGGTACAGATGCTGCCAAGCAAACAAGTATGACGTCATGAGGCTATAAGGACAGGTCAGCTAAGCAGCCTAGTCGGAGGGAGAACGAAGACTGGCGGCGCTTCTCGATGCTTTCTAGGCTGCTTTTGGACAGGTCGATCCACGGTTCTTCACAATCACCGGTTCAATCTTACCAATGCAGTGCCAAAAAGAGCCGCGTTAGCGCCAATCGGGATTCTAAGTTTGTGCGCAGGGGCCTGCAGCAACTCTAAAAGTAGTCGAGTCTAGAAACGAATAGAGGCAGTCGATGGAGAGTACGTCAACATAGAGAAGTATCAAAAATATCTACACTCGAACGGTTTGGATAGAGTCCGGGTATGATCACAAGTCAACTTCAGGCGCCATTTAGAGTTCTCACCATGGACGTCTAGGCAGAGGTCAAGACCCTTTTTGGTGCCCAGTACACCAAAGATGTCCACTAAGGACTCCAGCAGGTGCAGCAAGTCAAACGGCACTTTGTCCAGAACCATCTTTCCTGCCTCGATCTACAAACCAAAGAGTCGGAACAGCCTGCTGGTTAGACCATGCACAACACGTGAAAATTCAGGCAGCGGAAACTCTGAAATCCTGTATTTCCGAGTTTTGAGAGTTATCTTTGGGTAGTCATGTCCCTGGACATGATTGTAGAACAGAATGCAAGCAACTAGGCGGAGCACTTCGCAGAAGTAGGTGGAGATGGAAAAGATGAGACTGAGAGTGTAAAGTCAAAAAGGCATTGGCAGTAAAGCTCAAGATTAGAGATAAGGACCCCGTCCGTTTGATATCGGTCAACTAGACAATATGCAGAGTCTTGAACCTAGATT